CTCCAATTAAAGTATTTTTTTTAGATTTTAAATTTTAATGCGTAGGGGTAATGAATTTTTTATTTTTTATAATAGATATCAAATTTACTACTAGGGATAATAAATATAATAAATATTAAAATATACTATCAGGGACGAGTCTTTGAATAAAATAAGAGGGGGTGAGGGCCACTCCGCCACGGCAGCTCAAAAAAACGAGGTACTCAAAATTACGACACCCGACTAAAATGTGTCAAATGCTTAACTAACCGATCATATTTATCAAAAAATCACCTATTGAAAATCGCTTTATTTGGTAGGGAAGAGGTTGAATTTTAAAAGAAATGAGGTTTTTCTTCAAATTCAATTAGCATGTCTGTATGTATGTACGAATGTACAAGTAAGTATGTATATATGTACAGAGCCGTACCGAGTTTTCAAAGACTAAGGAGGGTGTAATTGTCAAATTTACCGACAGAATTTTTTCTTGTTTAGAAAAAAAAAGTATGGAAGATTTATCAAAATCATTATTACATTCTTATTTTATTACCTGTAACACGTTAAAAGAAGTAAAACATATATTTCCTGAAATATGACATAACTTTTTTAAATTTAAATGATTTTTACAGATTTTAAAAAAGATATACAAACAACAAGTTGATGTTTGTATTTATTTTTTAACGTTTTTTTTTAACGATAACGCAAAACCGCATAATTAGTTACTGATTTTGAATACGTTTTTGGGTTGTTAAATACCAGCATGTCAATACTATATTGTATACTAAATCTTTTTCTGACGCCAACAAAATTAATGAATCTAATCTAGCATCTGATATAGTTGAACGTAAAATATTTTTAACAATTTTTAATTTGCTAAATGTTCTTTCATCGCTTGCAACAGACATTAATGCTGAAACCATTAGGTGTAAAAACTTTGAAAACACCTGGAAAATTTTTTTGTCTTTGCCACGAAAGTTTTAATTTTACATTGTTGGAGCATCAGATTTAGTAAATGAGTTCACAAAAATTTCTAATTCTGCATGAAATAATTGAGCTATTTTTCTCTATTTATTGGCATTAAATAGAACCGTCTTTTATCGTGAAGGTTTTTGCTGATTGCTGGAGAAGAGAAAATGGTTTAATGCTTAAACATGAAGCAAGTAAATTTTCTTTCATTTTGTAAATAAGAAGGTCTAACACGCAATTAAGTTGTTGTGTGTAGTATTGATAAATATTTCTAGAACATAGCGTATCAGGATTATCATCATAGCGTTTTGGAATTGATCGTCGTCTATGACGATCTCCATATAATTTGAACGCATCAATTTCATGCTTGCATGCATGCATGCATATTTTAATTGCGGCATCAATTTTGTGATGCACATCAAATTTATCTTTTCTAATTCGTTCAAGAGATTGTATTGTAGACAACGCAATCATTATAGCATCTAAAATCTTTTACTCAACTTTCTGTAACTCACCACCCGAGCAGCACAACTTGGTTGGCCCAACTTTGGCCCAACATATTTCTGATTGCTGGGCCAACGAGGCGTTTTGGTAGGCCGTAAGTTGGCGTCGTGCTGACATATGGTTGGCTGCCCATCGTGCCTACGTTGACGTAACATACACCTAATATTGTTGGCGCAACGTTGGCCCACTTATGGTTTTAAATTGTTGGCGCAACGTTGGCCGAACCAAGTAAAACAGTTGGCGACACGTTGGCATAACGCATTTCGTATAATGTTGACGTTACATTGGCGCACCGTTGGTATGGGTTTGTAGGGGCTATGTTGGCCTAATAATGTTTAAAGGTTGGAATCGCGTTTACTCAATGTCGGCATCGTGTATACTCAATGTTGTTGGCATTGCGTTGGCACACTGTTAGTTTTATATTGTATTCGCATTTGTGCATTTTATTAACGTTGGCCTAAGACTTCAAGCATTGTTTCCAACAATGTTAGCAACGCCTTGTGTGACGACTATGATGATTTGATACTCATTGAACTAACGTTATTATGAAAATTGAAAATGTAAAAGTAATTAAAGTTACATAAAAGTAATAAAGTTATTAAATTTGTTGGTTTCTAGTTTATTCGTTACAAAAAATTTTAAACTATTACACACATACAAAAAAATCATAAACTATATATAAAACTATATAACTAAAATTGTTAAAATGATATTTCTTCTCCTCCCTCCACACGAATTTCGCAAATCGAAGCCATGTTTTAATGGCACAAGCAACCTAGCATCGTACCGCGACATGTTGTAGGATTACGCCGAACAGCATGTAAATAAAATAATCATGTATTATGCATACACACTTATAAGTATTAACTATAAACTCATTTACTTTCATTTATATAAAACGATGAAAATTATAAGTAAATATTTAAAAAAAAAAATACTAATAAAAAAAACATTAATAGTAAGATGAAATAATGACATTTTAAAACAAAACAAAAAAATAACGCACTATTTATAATTTGACAAAGCTTGCTAATCCCAAAGGCATATTACCCCTCCCAATTACTAACTACTGCTATGTTGTTTGATATTAACCGCCTAATAACATTTTTAGTTGATTCAGTGAAAACCCGGATTTTTTTTTAAAAAAAACAACTTAGAGGGTTTTTTTTGGGTAACTTAGGTTTTTTTTGGGTAAAGTTGGGTTTTTTTGGGTTTTGTTTTAATTTCGTCTGTGTAAAAATGTTTTTTTTTCAATAGTTTTGAAAAAAAAAATAAAAAATTAAATGAAATTTTTTACTTTAATTTTATTTAAATATATTTATATATTATTATTTACTAATTCATAAGAATATTTCAAATTAATTTGAAAAAGACTTTTAAATACAACTTAAAACTATAATAGAAAAAAATTATTTTGCGTTAAATCTATATGTATTGGTTTAATTTAAATTTAAAAGTATTATTCTATGTAGTTAAAAATGTCAATGAGAAATAGGAAAAAAAAAGCTATAGAATTGGAGGTAGTAACTAAAGTTTCAATTAAAATTTGAACTTGAAATTTAAATGAACGAACTTGTTTCTTCGCGCAATGGCCTTGTTTATAAAAAATTGTGTTTAGGAGTTAAACAGTTGAAAAAGGATTGTAACCACAAGATAGCCTCCTCGACTGTAGTGGCTTTCTCTGGCCACTAATACTTATTTAAAATCACCTAGGGAGGTGAATAACATAAAAGATTAAAAAATCTCAACTGATAAAAATTGTTATAATGTATTTCCATGTAATGATTTAAATATTAGTCTGATAGCTGTTATTGTTGGTTATAATAGTTATTAATATCAGTTAATAATAATTTAGTTAATATTAATAATTAATAATTATGTTAGTTAATAATATTATAGTTAATAATATTAAAGTTGGTTATAACAGTTCATAAACTTATTAGATATTTTTAAAAAACTCAAAAACACACAAATTTACCGGGTTTTATTGGGTTTTTTTAAGCGGGTTTTTTTAAGCGGGTTTTTTTAAGCAGTTTTTTTAATGCCAAACCTGCGCCACACTGACCTATATAACTAAAGGGACTAAAAAAGGTCTAAAATGAAAAAAACAATTTCAAAAGACATTATTTACTATGTAAAAAATTTAATGTAACTTGAATAAGAGAACAAAACAATTATAACAAATATCTTACAAGCTTTCCTGGGAGGTCATTGTCAAGGCAATCTGTTTCTAGTTTTTGTAAATGTTCCATTAATGAAACAGGAAGCCCAAA